AGGGGCCATGCCACTATAGACAAGAACCCATCAGTAACTATCCAGATTCCTTTTGGGATCTCCTCACATGAAGCAGAGGAAATACTTTCCATTGGATAACTACAATTTCCTTTCCTGTGGTTTATATATTACTAAGCAAAAAGTCCCATATCCATTCAGTTGCCTCACAGAGGCTAAGTGACTTGCTTTCAGTCACGAAATTACTGAGCAGTGAAACACAGACTAAGACTCAGATCTTCCTACTTCTGCTCTAGTGCTCTGGACAGATTTCTTCAGCTCTAAAGAGAAAATACTTACGATCCTTTGAAAGCAGACAAGGGCAAGTCATTTACTTTCACAAGACTCCTCTCAGATGCAGGGCAATGACTGAACTTATTTGAAAACCTTATGATTTTGCATATTTTGCTTTGACTCCTCTATCACAGTAGTTAGAAATTGGGATTGTTTACTGATTATTTTGGTTGCCATGGATTTGCATGCTGTTATTGCATATTGTTAAATAGTTTTCTGATAAATGTGTAATGTTGACTTGGACTAACTTTGCTGGAATAAGCAAGTATACTTATAAATTTAGATATATAATTGTTAAATGGTGGTAGTCATAGAACTGTTGATTATTTTAGACCAATTGTTTTCAGGGAAACCTGGCCACAATTTCCTCCTTTGCCCAGTGAAGTCTGTCAATTAACACACACACAGTTAATTAGCTAATTAGTTGCTGAGTCATTTCTATGACCTGTTTAATATATTCTGCACTTGCACACTATACATATCCTGATGTTTTTGGTATATTTAGTATTTTTAATTATTTCTTGATCTTTCAAAGAAATCTAAACTTTTGATTTCTACATTCATCTTCCAAATATCTGTATTGCCATTGATTTTTAAAGTTTTTCTGTTATTTCACATACATTTTTGTAAATGTATGTGAATTTGTGAATTACAAATTTTCTGTTTGTAAATCCATTTAAACGATAAAGAAAATCTAAAAGAGAGTTTTATAGCCTAGACATTTTAATGTGTTGATGCTCTTTATTGTTTAGATTTATATTTTAATATTCTCTGGTAAAAATATTTCTCTAAAAAGGTATTGATAGGTGATTGAAAGAGTTTTTGAAAGGAATTTAACTCACATGAATTTCCCATGTGATATTTTTTAAACTTATGGTTTGCTAGTCCACATGTTTAAAGTTAAAAAAATTACTGAATGTAAAATTGGGAGATGGACCCCATAATGTATCTACATAGCACATCAGTACCTTGGGCTAATTTCACTTTTTTTCTTTAGTTGTGATTTCTTTAAAATGAGAAGTTACCTTCAGTGTGTTCTTCTCATGACTCTTACAGATTTCACGTGCTTAAAAGAAAGTATGACTAAAGGGAATGTGTGGGTATCATTACCTATATGCACAGTACTTTTATGGACATAGACTTGTTAAACAGCTTTAGAAGTTCCTTGAAGGAAATTGAGGATGTAGATATGAGATATGTATGGACCACAGAAAGAAATGAGATAATTAAGAAAGGAAGGGGAAATGTGTTAATGACAAAGGAGGGCTTGTAGGCCATAAAAATAATTTCCCTTTTACTTCCTTTTGTCCACAGTCTAGTTATCCCAATTTGAAAACCTACTGGCACCAGGTATTATCATCGGGGATGAGTAATATGTAATTTTTATCTTTGCTGGGTTACATTTGGCCAGCAGACAGTTGACAGCTGTCAGTCAGATGTCTGGTCAATGAGGAGATACATCTAAAGCTGCCAAAATATTTTTGTATCTTTAAATACTTTCAAGTAAGCCATTTTACATAGAAACTCCATTGTGCCGAAATTAAATAGTTTGATATTCACAATATAATTTATTGAAGTTAATTGCTGGAAGAATCAAGATTTTCCCTTATGAATATACAAAGTAAACAAACCAGGGTTACTCCCCTACAAATAAAGTATTTTTAAAATAGGAAAGTGTACTGAAAATAATGCTGAATGTGCATACTTTCTGAAGTTAAATTTTTAGGGCAGGTATGAGTCACTAGCACTTTAAATCAAAATTTCTTATTAAGACTTACTAAAGGGAGCCATCCCGATACTTTGAGAGAGTCGATGTAGGTATTTTGTGGCATGGAGATTTCAGTGTTGAAGATTTATTAGAGAGGACAAACATACAGCTACATATTGAACAAGAATGTATGGCTTCTCATAATTAAAAGAAAAAATCATGAAGTTTTAGATTAAGCCCACAGTTCATGGCATAATTAAACTACAAATTTTAGTTATTTCGGATATTTGGGCTCTGTCTGACATTGTCTCTAATAGGTTCTGGGACACTTAAATAAGCGGCAGAGTCATGAAGAACAGTTTGGCAGAAGCTTTTGTATTGCTGATACTTAGTGGTAATGTCAGACAATGTGATAATTATAGCCAATACTAATGCACATGAAAACTTAAATAGAATTCTAAAGTTGACCTAGGAGTGCATGTTGTTCAGGTTTGCAGTAATTAGTTACCATCTTTAAGAGCAAGTGCTCTGATTCTTTAACAATATGGTATTTAACAGAGTAGAAAAAATTACCTAGTGCATAGAGCATGTACTCATTCTTAAAGAGACTGATGAGGTTAGATGAAAAATTCAGTGGCTATGGTTACTCCAGTGTCAGAATTGATAATGAAGCATGACAAAATATCATTTGAAAACAGCAGTTTGAACCACTCTATATTTTAAATAAAATATGCTTTAATTATCAGAGGTATATTGTACATGTAATAATTTATAACATAAAGTACTTTTAGGTTTTAATTTTTTAAGATATAGGTTCCTGAAAATGTTTGTAAATAAGATTACATTTTTAAATATTAGATTTATTTGTTGGATATACCATTTTGGGTAATTTTTAAACCACAGATATTTTATGATTTTAGGCAGCAATTAAACCACTTTAAAAGAGTATGATATTTATGTTTGTATCATATCTGAATCATCATTGATTTAAAAATTATTTTAGATAGTGTGGTCATTGACAAAAGTCAGATCTTATTTTTTCCCCACATACAAATATGTATTAAGCATATAGATTAGGAATTATTTATGGTATCAGAATAAAACGATTGTCCCTTGTCTTAGTAATTTATATTGGTAGGAGTCTTTCTCTTCTTAAGTACCAATTCCACCCCCCACAGCCCAGAAAATTGATTTTAATGCATAATAATTTCTAACATTCTTGATCAATGTATGCTGTTGTGTCTTTTACATTCATTAGCCCATGTTGCTTGTGAATATGGAATGTGCTTATTGAAATGGTTTCATATGTTTACTATGTATAGTCTCTAGCTTTGAGCTGCTTACTTGCTTAAATAAATGTTTTCAATTTGCTATAATACAACAATTTGTAGAGAAATTCTGTGAAGCATAGTTAAAAGAATGAGTCCTTGAAATAGAATCACTTTTTAAAAATATGTCCTAACATGTGGTCTCATTTTTCCATCTTTTGCATTAATTAAACTCCTATTCTGAAAAAAATATTTTTGCCTAAACTTTTGAATTCACAAAATAAAAATACCAAATATATAAATGTACTAATTTTGGAAATCAATGATGTAAAAACATGTTTTATACTCTCTCAGTTGTTTATTTGAAAAGATTTTGCTCTAAAAGTCTCTGTAAAGTAATGAGAAAATGTTGTTACTTTTAATTATTACACATTCTGTGCAATACATGTTTTTAAAGATGTATTAAAGTTAATTCTGTATTCTCTAATCATATTCCTATAATATGCATACACTGAAAAAAACCAGCACATGGAATTTTTGAAAAAAGCATGTACCATTTCATATTTTCAATGGAGATTTGTTGGAAAACAACATTTTATTTAAAAAAGATTATGACAGAATTAGATTAAGAAGAGACTAAAATGTTATTTATTTACTGTAATGTAGAATATAATAGGTGCAATTAACTCTTCGCCTTTCAGACATTGAAGAGAGTAATCAAGGAGACCAATATTAAAAATATAAATTGTTTTACCAAATTATTTTTTTAATCTAAAAAATTGTCAGCAGTGACAGCTCTCCTTTGTGCACCTGGCAGACCCATTGTGGAGTCAGTTGGCTCTGAATCCAAAGGTCTCATCAGCTTTGTGAATGCAGGTACCTCAGCAGGGCCTCTTCCAAGATAACAAAATCAACTTTTAGAGATTAAAAAAATACATTTTGGCAATTGAAACTCACCAGTGCCTTTCTGCTTCTCCAGGAAGTTGTACCCGTCAGCACCTGCTGAGGGCTTTGTTGTCCAAACTCTGACAGGTAAAAAAATTCCTGTAGAATAAAGCCAGACCAGCTGGCTTTGAAGAGAAACCCCCCAGTTTGGGCTGCGTTTGCCTCCTCTCCTTTTCTATGAAGACCGAGGCTTTGCCCCCTTGATCGTCAAGCCGTGAGATGCGTGATCCCTCTGCACAAGTGTCTGGCAGGCCGAGGTGCACCTGTTCATGTCACTCTGGAGTAAATTTAGCTGTAAAGGTATCATTGACAACCAGACCTTTGTCAGTGCTGGCAAAAGAACACAGAATTGCTCCCTCCACCCCGCCCCAAGCCCGTACATTGCTAGTTCCAATGGAAAATATCCAATCGGAAGTCTATCCAAAAATCATTCCTAAAAAATGAAATTACTTTCATATGGTATAAAAAAGTAAGTTTGTTTCATTTCACACAGGCTTTAAAATTACATTTCCAAGAAAAATCTTGGAACAAGACAAGTTTTTGTTCAATTAATTGTGGCTGGAAACTTTTTAATGGAAACATAGCACGCACTTCATTTCACGTTATTAAATTGTGTTAAGCATTCGGGATAGTTGCCATTCTTTGCTGTCGCTCATTTGTTCTTTTCAATCCAAAGAACTATTAGAAGGTTAAAACTTATCACATAGGAGGGATTAATCATGCTACCGAAATTAGAAAGCATGTAGTTCTGAGGGACTTGAGTGTCAACATTGGATGCTCATGGCACGTAAGCTGCTGGGAATCTCGGAGAACACTACAGCACTTAAAATGGCAGCTCCTGTCTGTGGACACCCTTGATGTCTAGAAGCTGACTAAGGCTAGGGTTCTGTTGCTCCTTGGCTAAGGTGAGTTTTTTAAGATTAGTTTCTCCATCCATAGCTTGAGAAAAGTTCTCTTGGAAGGAAAATACAGAGGCAGGCTGTGTTCAGTAGTGTACATAAAGCAGCCTAAGGAGGAACGTGCTTAGCCAAAGCCTTTAAACTTCTGCCTTAATAATTATGATTTCTTAAGTAGAGCTAAAAAGAGTTGTGCAAAGTACCTGTTGTAACATATTATTGCTGTTTACAAGGGTTGGGTGTGATGAGAAAAAGGAATCTGGGTCAAAATAAAAAATGCTTTGTAAAATAAACAAAGTTCCTATTTACTTACTAAGTATAAACAGCCACTCACCAAGCCTCGTTTCCCCGCAGGGCACCACTTTCAGATAAAAACATAGACCTGAATGGCATCATCCAGTATCCAAGGAAACCATGTAAGTACCTCTCTCACTGTGTACTTCTCTTATTCAGAGTTTAAAAGCTAGCTGAGTACTGAATAAGTGAGTGTTTTTATTTAATAATTACACGGAAGGTACTTTTTTAGGAGCTTGCTAAAAAGAAACAGGTCTTGATTGTTATGTGCGTCATAACAAAACCCTTATGTTTTCATCATATTTCATAAAATTATGTATTTAGTTCCAGTGTCTCCATCAGTTCTCATTCTTAGATACAAAACAGCTACTCAAAGTCTTAATGAACCGAGAGTTTTAAACTTTTCCAAGACCCATTAGTATCCAGCAAATCATGTTTCAGAGACCTTGTGCCAGGAGTAGTTTCCTAAGTGTAGTAAAACATTTTTCAATTTTAAAAATGAAGAAAAATTGCTTAAAAGTAAAAATTCATTGGTAAATATTAATAATAATTTGGCTATAGGCTTGCTTGAGGAGGTTACTTGCAAGTGAATAGAGATGAGATTATGTACTCAAACCCAGCAAAGAATCTTGAAAGTAACCATAAATACCAAAATCTAACTATCTCAAGAAAGGATTGAGAGTTTGGCATTTATTCCCTTCCTCTCTCCCTACCTTGTTTCTTCCTTCCCTGTTTCTTACATGCCTGCCGCCTGCCTCCTCTCCCTTCTTTCCTCCTTCCCTCCTCCCTCCCTTCCTTTCTCCCAAAACTATCTACATTTCTGTAGATAATGTTAAGATACTAATTCATTTTCAGTAGCTTTGAAATCTAGTAAGGAAATTTAGTTTCTGAACAATTCATTGTTACTTTGGAGAAAGATCCATTTCTAAATTTCTACTAAGTATTTCTTCACTATTTTTTCATATTTGTACTATTTTTAAGACCAAATTATTTTTAAAATGAGATTGTTATTCATTATTGTTTGTATACCTTTTATGGAAATACTTAAGATTGACAATTACTCATGAAATTACAGAATCCCTTTTTTAACTTCTAGATCAGCTATATGATTTATCTAGCCTTTTAAAGACAGACATACTGCTTTTCATCGTGGCTTTCAGAAGGTGCATTTAAATGCATCTGGCTTAGTCCTGTGGTTTGGTAATTTTTTCTGTTATTTTCATTTGCTTTTATTACTCGTGTCTTTTCACTCTTCCTCTGTGGCATGGTTCCTTTCTGAGCATAAATGGTAGAGATGATCTTATTCACCGTTTTTCACACCCTTCATGTTCAACTAACTGCAGGGACATTTCAGTTTGTCACATGGCTATGTCAAATTGCATTTTTATATATTTCAATATTTCTATCTTATGTTACAAATTCACCTTTCTGAATTGAGAGAGAAAAGTTGTGTTTGACTAAGAAGTGTGCTGGAACTTTGGAAGGCCATCAGGACCTGTGAACCCAATAAAAAACTAGGAAGTTAGTATTTTATGGTAGTGAAAAACTTTAGATGTATGGAGTTTTAGCCCTGAAGTGCTGCCATCTAAATAAGAAATTCTTTCTTGCAAAATAATGGTTGGGCTATTGCTGGGTAAAGTTATAAGCAGAGAAGAGTTAGAATAGAATTTTTTGAGGGAAGGTCTTGCTGTACGAACTAGGCTGTCCTCATATTCATGATCCTCCTGCCCGGGCCTCCCAAGTGCTGGGATTGCAATGTATGCCACCCATGCTGGGCTAGAATATATCTTTATAATGAAAGAAAAAAACCCACTAATTGCAGGTAAGACTGGCCAATGTTATAACTCATGATCTTGAAGAAATGGAATCTTTTGAAATTCATTCTCATTCTGGGAAGAAAAAGGAAACCTACACTGAAGTGCTGGTGGCACAATTTTAACTATTTACATTAAATACAGATTTTTCCAGAAAAGTCATTTAAATCTGACAAATTCAAGCTTCTATTCCAAAGGGAAAATGAATTCATAGAAATGCATGTGTGTATGCACATGTGTATGTATGTGCATATACATGTACACACACACACTTGAAATTTTCCATTCATCAGCAGTGGTCTCCCTAGTGTGGACCAATACTGTTTGGTGGAGTTTCCGTGATGAGAGATATGGTCTGTATCCACACTGTCCAGTGTGATAACCACTCACCACAGGTGGTTATTGAGCATTTGCAGTGTGCAGCAGAAAAGCTGAATGTTGAATTTAATTAATCACAGTTATGAAATCCACATGTGACTTGTAGCTACAATGCTGGATAGCATAGAATGTGCAGGGAGTAAAAAATAGATAGATAGTTATAATATCATTATCAATTGTTTCTTATATGTATATCAACTACCATGAAACACAACTAAAAATAATGCCTAAAGAAGAAACATGCTTCAACATTTATTTTGCTGAATTTTAAGAATATTTTCATGTATTAAACATCAAAGAGTAATATTTTGCTTTCATTAGAAATTAAAATACCCTCTTGCAAAGAATTTCAAATCCCTTGGTATCCCATCATTTGTATCTATTTTTTACTTTTAATTAAATATTTGGATCATGATTGTAGTATAATTTCTTTACAACATTTTCTCAGTGATTGAAGTTTTTAATATTATTGATGGAAAGATATTATTTTGCTTTATAATCCTTGGGTACCAGCTTTTAACATGACCATTATAAACACTATTGGTAAATATTTTGAAAAGTTCAGCTACAATTTCTGCAATACATCCTTGCAAATAATTTCAGAAATGTAACCAGTGAACAAAGATGCTCAGTAACCTTGTGATGCTACTCCCAAAACACATATGACAGCTTAAATTTGCTCCCACAGCCTTTTCAGGCATTTAGTGAAAGTGCATGTTAGGATGCATGATAGTATTTTTATAATAATGCTAGTATAGTAATATTATAGACAAAATAATTACTTATAAAATTATGTTGCAAATTTTAAATTCTCATAGATTAAAAAACTCAGTTAAGTCTTTGGTTTTTTTGGGGGGAGGGGCAGTACTGAAGTTTGAACTCAGGACCTCGTGCTTGCCCAGGTCATTTCTTGAATGCTGGTGATTTATAAGACATTGAACTAGAAGCCATGAGAAGTATGAGTTACAATTGGAGACATTACACTCATCCTTTAGAAACTACATTTGCTGAACTTGGTCAAGTCCTCTTGGATATATAGGATTCAGATAAGAGAGAGGAGACTTTTTTACAGAGTGTCTCTCCTACTGCAAGACAATCAGATTCTTTAAAAATATTTTTGAACTTCTACAATTGTCCCTCTTCCTCACCTCAGAACTAAAAAGTGTGAGTTGAATCTGGAGTTGAGAGTAACAGGCACACCAGAAAAACAGGAGTGGCAAATTGAATTCCATAAATGGTATTGCAAGGTTATGGTTAGAAAGCAGGTATATTCTCAACTAAACATTTTATAAGCTGACCTTTTTAAAAATAAAACAGAAGAAAGCTAACAACCATATTTTTTGTTTTGTTTTATGTATTTTAGTACCTAGAGAAAGAAGCCAACTGCCTTATCAATCAATACGGATCTATTTTCAGAAAAAAAAATCAAAGGTTTTACCTTACTCAGAGGCCATTGTTCTCTGTGGAGAAAATATGATCCTCCATTAAGGGACTCTTACAAATCATAGGCTTCTATAATGTTGTAAAATATCATCTCTGATACCACGCCTAAAAAAATTGTTTCTATTCAGAAATATGGATTGTGACATCTGAGTCCTTAACTACCACCTCAACTTATTATGTATTCCTTTATATGGTAATAAGTTTATCTTTTTTACTGCAAAATTTCAAATATGTTAAAAAGTACAGCTAATGCTACAATGAATTTCCCTAATCTACACCTACTTTCAGCAACTATCATCTCCTGGCCAATTTCTTTTATTGTACCATTTCCACTTCCTACCTCTACCCCAAATTATTTTGAAGTTGATTACAAATGTGACATCATTTTATCTGTTAATATTTCAGTAGGTCTTTTAAGTCTGTTTTTTTATAACTGCAAAAATCATCCATATTTAGAAAGTTGAAAATACCTAAAAAGTCCTTATGTTCTTATTGTCCTCAGATATACAAAACTGACATTCAAATTTTCCCAGGTTTCTAACAAATTTTTATATTTTACATTGTTTGAAGCAGAACTTAGATAGGGCCCATATGTTATGATTGGCTGATATGTTTCTCCTCTTTCAGACTATTTTTCTTTATATGTCAAAGAAACTAGATTGTTTTGTGCTGTGGAGCTGTCCATTGTCCAAATTTGCAGATACATTTCTGTGAAATTGTTTAATAATGTCCTTTGTCCTCTGTCCTTACCTTTCAGTTGGCAGGTAAAACTCTAGAAACTTGATCAAATTCATTTAGGGGAGGGTGGACAAGACTGGTTCATCTCTCTGTGATGTTAACAGATGTTGCAGTTTGCAATATAAATCTCCATATTCCTGATTCATTTATTGGCAGAAGTGCTTCTATAAAGATACTAGTTTTTTTTTTTTACTTTGAGTTCCAGTTTATATAAGAAAGTCAAGAGAAGCACCTAATTTGCTCTCTTTGTTTATCAATTCTCAAAATAATTTGTGGTTCTTTAGAATCCTCAAAAAGTGGCCAGAAAATATAATTATTTTTTGCTATGAAATCACTTTTTTTTTGTGATAGTGGGACTTGAACTCAGGGCTTCGAGCTTGCTAGGCAGGTGCTCTACTACTTAATACCATTGTTTTTTAAAGTCATTCCAGACATTGATGTGCTTTAGCCCATGGTGATCACTATGCTTATGGATGCCTGTTGTCATCCTGTCCTTGTTAGTCCATCTCGGCTAGAGTAAAAAGCCCCTCAGGTAGTTTCTAAGAAATGCATCCATAACTTAGTGATCCAACTATCATTTTACAATGAAGTTTAATATTTAAAACAAAATTTAAAGTATTCTGACAAAAGTTTGTGTGCACATCTGCATACAAGAAGTATATATATAGATATATATATATAATATACACAGGTGTGTATGTATGTATACAGATATATATATATATATATATATATACACACATATATAT